CAAGCAAAAGGTGGGTGTGGCTGGATAACCACACTTCTGGTAACGTGGGAGTGCAGCCTAATGTGCTAATGAGCTGTGCTGTCAGGGGTGTGGCCTAATATGCTAATGAGTTCCTGCTGTTGGGTGTGGCCTATTATGCTAATGAGTTCCTGCTGGGCTTTTTCTACAAAAAGAGCCCTGGTTATACTCCATTGACTTCAGTGCATTTGGAATGGTGTAACTGTTTAAGATTACACTGTGAGTCTACCAGTATGTTCCCTTTCTATGACTTCTTACCAGTTGTTGGTCTTCAGTGTCTGCCAGTCCCTAGCTTTGCCACTGTACCCGGCAGTGACTGCTATACCAGTTCTGACCTTCTGCTTGTAGTTCCCTGAAACTTACTGCCATAATCCAGTTTTACTAAGGCCTAGAAACAGCTTCTGACATCCTCTCTAACCCTTAAGCCACCAATCTAGTCCTCAGCATTGCTGTTTCTTTTCACGCTTTCCTTGGGGCCTCACTACAGGCTACATTTCCTCATGTCTTGCCTGCTCTGCATGATCACACATGTGCTGCGAGTTCCATTCTTGGAACTTAATTTCCAGGCACATGGGGGCGTCCCTAGGAATGGGATCGTGATGCATAAGATGTATAAGATGCATCTCCTCCCCTCCCACCAATTTACCAAACTGTTGTGGGCTAGGGTTACCAACTTCAGTGTGGGGCCTGGAGTTCTCCCCGAATTACAACAGCTCTCCAGACTAGGGCTGCCAAATCCCCCCGGGGGGCGGATTTCCCCCGCTTTGGAGGCCCGATTTCCACCCCCGCTGAATCGGGCCCTGGGAGAAACCCCACCCCCTCGTGCACATCACCCGGATGTGACGTCGCATGCTGGGTCGTATCTACGTCACCCAGAGGGGTAAACATAGAGTTTTCCCCTCAAGTGGCTGTGGCCCCGCCCCCACGTGCCCGGCGTCATGACGTCACATCCAGGTGACGTGCATGCGGCGCGTGCATGCTTGGCGCGCGCACACACCGGGAGCTGCCCAGGAGTCCCCCGCCAAGGAGGTGAGTGCCATTTGGCAACCCTACTCCAGACCCTGGAGGAAATGGCAGCTTTGGAGGTATAGCATAGGAGAACAGAAGTCGTAGGCTTCACAAGCTTGATGGATTTACATTCTGTACCGCTAAATGTGGTGCCTTCCATGGAGATAGATCAAGATGGGTAGCCGTGTTAGCCTGTCCGTAGCAGTAGAGAAGAGCAAGAGTCCAGCAGCACCTTAAAGACTAACAAACTGGACTCTTGCTCTTTTCTACTGCTACGGACAGGCTAACACGACTACCCTTCTTGAGAAGTCGTAGAGTCACTAGAAGGTGGATGCTTTAGAACTTCCATTTATCCTATGATACAGGAGAAAATTATAGTTTCTGATCTCTCTCTCTTTTCCTCATGAAAATGTATGCAAACACAGAGTAAGGCAGAAACAACCATAAAGGCCCTTTCTAAGACAGAGACCTGGCTAATGATAGTTCTGTATCAAAGATACATGCCAAATACATAATGTTTACAAATTAATAAGTGAAGCTTCTTTGGCTAAGTGAAGCTTCTTTGGCTTCTTTGCCTTTTAATTTGTTTTATGTTCCTTCAAAACAATACTATGTAGTCCTTCATTTATTTCCAAACCGCTTGTAATTTTCAAGGTTCAAATCACAGTGTGTACCATTTATTACTGTTGTTCTTATGCTCTTCAAACTGGAAATCCCTTAGTTAGCCAATTTTTCCCCCACGTGAATGTGAAGATCAAAACATTATATTAAGTCTCCTTTAAGGTCTTCATCTTGAAAGGCCGTTTTTTAAAATTCTCTAAATGGCACTTGCACAGATGCAAACAGTGTTCCCTGACTCAGATTCTCTACAGTTTTCTAAATGGCAAGCAAGTCCTAATTTTGCAAATTCAGACTAACAGAGGCAGAGCTGGAGCACAGATTCAGAGCTGTGACTGACATGCTACTCTATCTACTCTATCCTTTGCTGGTAGAGTTGCCAACTCCATCTCAGGAAATCTCAGGAGATTTGGAGGTAGTGCCTGGGAAAGGAAGAGTTTGGGGAGGGAACTCAGTGGGAATATGATGTGATAGAATCCACCCGCTGATAGGGCTGCCAAGCCGCGGCAGGGGATCCGCACGTCTTCACAGGATCCCTGCCGCGGGGGACAGCGATATGCGTTGCACCGCCGTCGCCAGGATGTGATGCTACGCGTCACTCTGGCAACAGGACTCCAAACAGCCCCGTTGCCAGAGCGACGCGTAGCGTCACATCCTGGCGACGTTACGTTTTCAGGAAGCTGTGGTCTAAAATAAGGAACATTCCTTATATTAGCAGACCAACCAATGCTACTGTCTTCCTTTATCGGGGGGGGGGGAAGTAAGGAAAGATCCTATGCTCAGTGTGGAGGTCCAACAGTGCTTGAACATCATCAGCCTTCCTCACCTCTGCAACGTCTCATCATGCAGTATGCACCTTTGCCCATTTTCTCTGGCCATTCCCTTTGCCTTTGCAGATCATTCCTCCCGGCCTCCTCCTTTTCCCTTCATTACTTTGCAGTCCTGATCAGTGATCATATCACTTAAAGCACTCTTCAGCTCCATTCCCACCATCTGTTTACAAAGGGAGTTTCAAATGCAGATGTAGGTTTTCTGATGCATGGAAAGTAGGAAGTGATCAAGTAGAAAAGGTGATTGGCAGCCACATTTCGCTTCCTGCGGTTTATAATCCGCATGTGATTGGGGGTGTGACTGGCAGTGCCAGCATCTAATTGAATGTGACTATGTGGCAGACAGCCAGTTCAGGAGGGATTGAAAGGGGGGAGGGAAACGTTCTTGTTGAATTTCTGCTCACCCCACAGCTGTTAAAGGCATAGGAGCAGGTGGGGGGGGGAGATAAAAGTTTACAAGGGTGAGAAGGACAAATGTAGGGATGAAGGAAAGTAAAGTGTTTTTAAAAACTGAAGGACAACAAACTGGACAAAAAAACACAGAAGAAAGGTCATGTCTTGCATGCATGATTCTATAAAAGCTTGGTCAGAAGTAAATCTTACTGAATTTAATGGGAATCCCAATCAGGCACAGGACTGAAACCCTAAAATACCGTATTTTTTGGACCATAAGACTCACTTTTTCTTCCAAAAAAAGTGGGAGGAAAAGTGAGTGCGTCTTATGGACCGAAGGTTCAGAATATTTTTTCCCCTGTTTTCCTCCATTAAAAACTAGGTGCGTCTTAAGGTCAGGTGCGTCTTATGGTCCGAAAAATACGATAAATATTTTATCCTGCAACAGTGCAGTGCCTACTCCCATGCAGATGATGGAAACTGCACAGCAGGATCAGCTACAGAGGGGAGGCAGGTTTCTGCATAACAGGGGGAGTCCTTTTCCCTAATACTCTCATAACAACAGGAAAAATATAAAAAAGCAGGCAGAATGCAGACTGTAGGGATGGGCACAAACTGGGAAAATGCAGTTCAATTTGTGGTTCATGGTGTACTATGTTCATGAATGATGAACCGTCACAAACTTTTAGGGGCTAAATGAACTGGTTCAGTTCATGAGGTTTGTGACTTGGTAGAATGGCCTCCTTGGCGTGCTGGAGACACCATTCACAGGCGATCTCCACCTGACTCTCCTCTACCTGCCATCCAAGTTTGGTAAGGACTGGATTTCTGGAGTCCAAGTTATCGCCCTCCAAAAAAGGTGCCCCCAGGAAAGCGCTTTCTGGGGAAATGACCACCTATTATTTCCCCAGAAAGCACTTTCCTGGCTGCACCTTCTTTATTTTTTTTTTTGGGGGGGGGCATAACTAAGTCGGGAGCGTGCGTCGGTGATGTTTTTCTCTCTCTCTCAGTTTAGGCATGCGCACAGGCAGCCATCTGTAGAACTAAAATGTTTGCGCTTTTGCAGAACAGTGATTTCTACTTCAACCCGACTGCTGTAACACTTTAAACTTTAAAGGAACACTTCCCTTTAAACATTTATCCTGAAAATGGCCTCTGTGAGATCCCGAACTCATCTAAATGCTAAAACTAGGCACCGTTTAAACATTATTTTTAATAACGTGGTGGCGGAGCTCTGCCTATGCGCACACCGCCAATGCTTTAAAAAATGGTGGGCGAAAAGCGGAAGCCTCGGGCAGCTTTCGAGTGGGGAGGGGGTTTAAACCAAAAGTGGCTCGACACCAGAGGAGCGATCACACAGAGCGAAAATGTGGCTGGAAATGGAGAATCAGGAAAACACCACTTGGGGACCTGGTAACAAAATACTCCGGTTTAAAGGGGATTTGAGCCGGAAAGCGACGGCTGGGGATGGGAGGCAGATGTTGACTGTGTGATCGCGCGTATAAAATCCGTTTCTGAACTGGCACGACACGAGATCAAATGGTGCGCCTGAACGCACCCTTCAATTGAACGGATACAGCCTGTCTGGAAATGTATCCCTTCAAGAACTGCCACAAAAAGCTGGAAAGTTCATGGAAAGTTCATGCCCGTTGATCTGCCATGAACTTCAATTTGTGAACCATGAACTGGCCAAAATTTTTCACAAACTTAAGTTTGTGAGCCAGTTTGTCCCCATCCCTCGTGTGCAGTTCCTTCCAGCTGCTGTGGAATCCTAGTGGCATGAAAGAAGAGTCCAAGAGCAATTCCTTATGGTCCTTCACGTCTGTTCAACTGAAGAGAAGCAAGCACCTATTTGCTTCCCTTTAGCTTTAAGCCAAGCAGTGGAGCATACCCAGATTTCCCTGTCTTGAGTTACATGGGCCCTTTAAACGTTTATCCTGAAAATGGCCTGAAAATGAGAGTTACATGGACTACAATTTTGCTCCTTTAAAACCAGGGGGAAATTTTATTCTCAGTTTCAGTAGAACAAGGATTACACCTTAAGTTTCTGAACACACCACCGTCTCACCACAATGCTACTAAATAGTCATATTAACGAACTGTGCCAATTTTATTCTTATATCATTTGTTTAGCCTATTCTACAAAGCTCAACAAATTCCCCATCTTTAATTTTGATGATGACTTGAAATATCTTTGTATCAGTGCTGTGAGCCCAAACACGACTAAAGCAACACTGTATGCACTGAATGTGTGGCGTTACTGGTGCATGACAAAAGGCCTGAAGGATTACATGGACATTACAAAGGTGAGTCTCTAACAGTAGCCTTCACTCTTTTTTTTTTAAAGTACCCATTAGGTACACTTTTATTATTTTTCATATTATACACATACAAACATACAACATATAAACAAACATCCACTTACATACATAAAACATACAGAGATCAGTATATTTTCTTATAACTCTATTACCATATTTAAAAGTTTTCTTGAATCACTTTCTATAGGTTTGCTTAAGTTTCTGTATACTCTTATCTTTTTACCATAGTTTCTAATTAACTAAAAGAGATTAATAATACCAAAAATTTCATTACTTTAAACTATGCATTATATTATACCAGTCATACAGTTTTTTCCACGTCTTTTGAAATGTTGGGTCTGTTGTCCCTCTCATCAATGATGACAGCTTGTCATTTTCAGCCGTCTCCAAAAGTTTATTCACATATTCTTGCTTCTTTGGTACTTCCATTTGTTTCCAATATTTTGCATATAATATTCTTGCTGCCGTAGATATGGTATTTTAGTTCTCAATATCTCTTGCATCATCTCATGGATCCATCTCCAGTATCTCATTGTTACATCGCAAAGCCACCACATATGATAAAATATACCTATCTTATTTTTACATTTCCAACATTTATCTGAACAATTTTCATTCTGCTTAGCAAGCTTATCCGGTGTAATATACCATCTATAAAACATCATACATATTTTCTTTATATGATACCGCCTTAGTCATTTTAATTTTTTTAGACCATATCTGATCCCACTCTCTCCAAATAATATTATGACCTACATTTTGAGCCCACAGAATTATATTTTGCTTAACTGTTTTATCTAACAGCAAATCCTCTAACAAAATTTTATAGATTTTCTTTATCAGTTTATCATCCAAAAAGACAAGACTTTTTTCTAGTTCAGTTAGGTAAAGGTAAAGGTTCCCTTGCTCGAAAGCCAGTCGAATCCGATTCTAGGGTTGCGATGCTCATCTCCGTTTCAAAACCAAAGAGCCAGCGCTGTCCGAAGACATTTCCGTGGTCATGTGGCCGGCATGACTAAACACCGAGGCGCACGGAACGCTGTTCCCTTCCCACCGAAGTGGTACCTATTTATCTACTTGCAATTTCTTGCTTTCGAACTGCTAGGTTGGCAGGAGCTGGAACTAGAGATGGGAGCTCACTCCATCATGCGGCACCCAAGTCTCGAACTGCTGAACTACTGACCTTCCACAGCCTGCAGTTCAGCATCTTAACCACTTGAGCCTCCGCAGTTCAGTTAGTTTTTCATTAAAACCAGTCTTTTTATCTTTATTATAGATAGATTCTAATTGCATTTTATTCCACCAAGACAAGTGTTCTGGCAATTTCAAGCAATCTTTCTCATCCGAAATATCTTGATATCTAAATAGCTCTTCCCCTGTAAAGACATTTGGCAAGGTAAATACTTCCAATGGTACTATGAGTTTTGATTTTTTAATATAAAACCTTCTATAGATTGGATCCTATACTTTTAATAAAGCCACTCTTAGCCTCTAACAGTAGCCTTCTCCACTGGCCATTGCTTTACTATCTGAAGCAGAGTTTGCAAAGCTCTGTGGAGCTGGGAGATTAAAATTAAAATTTAAGAGAATTTAAAAAGCCATAGAAACTCCTAGGATATAACTGCCCTAACCTTTTCAGGAGAAACTGAACACTTACAAGATTTGCCTTTTTAGTTGTTATGATTATGGCATTTACCTCACAGAGCAGGAGAGTATGCTGTGTGTAATCCTATCAATAGCTGTCATCATCATCATCTTGTGTGAACACCTGGCCACCAGCAGGGATTGGGTATCTAGGCCTCACCTGAGGGATCAGTCCATGAAGACCACTGTATTAGGCTATCTGTATTCAGATTCTTGTTATTCTGCATTGATCCTCTATACTACCCAGCCCCCTCATCACAACATTTCTGGCTGAGGGCCTGTCTACTTGCAGCTTAATAAAGTCTGATGAGCAGATGTGAAATAAGATAGCTGAAATTAATGTAGTGATGAGAGGGCGAAGAGAAAAGGGATCATTGTAACTTTCTCAGCTGTAGGCATCAAAGGCAATATTATTCATGCCTTCCTCCTGTTTTTGCAAGCACCTCATTATAACCAGCTTAAAGCTTTCCTTTTAATTATGAGTTTTATAGGGCCTGTAAGTAGATCTGAGTGGAATGGCAAGATAGGAAATTTCCACTACTCATATGCAACAGGGAAATGGGCTGTTTGGGTAGCTGATGAAATAGCTAGACAAGTTCAAAGAGAGCCAGTTTGGTGTAGTGGTTAGGAGCGCGGACTCTAATCTGGGAGAACTGGGTTTGAGTCCCCACTCCTCCACATGCACCTGCTGATGTGACCTTGGGTTATTTACAAGTTCTTTCAAAGCTGTTCTCTCACGAGCAGTTCTCAAAAGAGTTGTCTCAGCCCCACCCACCTCACAGGGTGTCTGTTGTGGGGAGCGGAAAGGAGAGGAGATTGTAAGCCACTCTGAGACTCCTTTGGGTAGTGAAGGGCGGGGTATAAATCCAATCTCTTCTATTTTTCTTCTTCAAATCATAGACCAAAACAAGTTGGTTCACTGTAGAAAAATCCTTGCAGATCAAATAGCTCAAGGCGACCTGTGCCATTGGACCAGGCTATGTACTGCAGGGGGAGAAAAGGAGGCAATTATTAATATTTATTTATTATTTATGTTTTTTATCATCCACCTTGCTCACTGATACTCAAGGTGGGTTACACAGTGTAAAACAGTGCAGTCAATAGGATGGGACATCCAATAAGCAATGTAATAGGATTAAGACTGTGGAAATCTAAAACCAAGCAAAACATTAAAACAAGGCTAAAACAAAGCAAAAGCATTAACACAACTTTTATAGTATGTGTAGTATACATACTATACATAGTGGCATAGTCCACAGTCCCTTTCTCTTTGTTAATGCTTCTTCCTGAATTAGTGTGTTATATCATAGCTCTATTACCTTCATAATAATGCCCTCCTAAATAATTCAGTTTTGCATAGTTTGCTGAATTCCAGAAGACAGGGAACCTGCCTGACCTCATCAGACAGACCATTTCATAAGGTGAGGGCCACAACAAAGAATGCACATGTATTCTCCACTGCAGCACTCACTTCCTCTGCTGCTAGCACTTCCATATGTACAAAGCCAACGTTTTCCGTGGAGCCCTTACACATGAAGAAGTGCTAAACAGCTGAGGAAGTGAGCACGGCAGCAGAGAACAGACTCTATAATGGCCAGAGAGAAGGGAATGATGTCATAGGATTCAAGCCACTATCTTGGTCTCAGGGCTTGATCTCCAAGAGACGACACCATGTGGGATTTTAATGCAAATGTTTTCATTTCTTTGGACCTAGATTTCAGCTGCAAAGTTGAATGAACTCCTTGAGGATTTCTACGTCACGGTAAAGAAGACCGATGGCTCCGATTTTCTGGCCACCTCTCTGCATGCTATCCGTCGAGGGTTAGATCGGATTCTGAAGAATGCTGGGATGGGCTTTTCTATCACAAGTGGAACCTTCAGTTCCTCCGCCAAGAAGCTCAAGGAAAAGCTGAGGGTGCTCAATAAGGCCGGGATGTCAGGGTCTCGCTCTCGCAACATTGTCTATTTTTCCCATTCGGATGAAGAAGAGATGTGGAGGACTGGATGCTTGGGTGATGGAAGTCCAGTAGCATTACTGTCCACTGTGGTAAAGCATAACAGCCAATATCTTAACATGAGAACCTTACAGGAGCACGCTGATTTAATGTACGGTGACACTGAACTGTTGAAGGACTCGCAGGATCGACCCTTTTTTGCCAGAACAGACCATGTGAAACGAGAAAAAAGGATGGGTTCCAGCAGAGTGTGCTATGGCCAAATATATCATGAGCACTCCAAAGGACACAAGCTGTGCCCTTACTGCCTCCTCTACAAGTACATGTACATCCACCGGCCTCCTTCGCAAATGGAAGCCAAGTGCCCTTTTTATCTGACTGCTCGGAAGGAGATAACTGGTATGAGCAATGTATGGTATGAAGAACAGAGAATGGGGTTGCGCTCTCTAAGGGGGGTTGTCCCAAAACTGGCTAAAAAGGTCAAACTGGAACATTGCGAGAACTTTACTTTTGTCTCATTCACTCAGGTCTCCCGAACGTTCGGCCCTCTTAACTCATATCAGTAAACATATTGTCCTTCTGTTTCAGACCCTTCAAGTCAGTTGTACTATAAACACTGAGAGTCAGGAGCATCTTTCAACCTACCCAATGGCCTAAATATCCTATGAGTCTAATAGACAATTAGCAATAGTATGTTGTGCTGAGATTTGGTTTGGTATAGAGTGGCTGCTATTTGATACAGATGGAGACCTGCCCCTGTATGATGCTAATATATTAAGACTACAAACCATAAAAATGCTTCAAGAGTAAGAAGATGAGTTCAGCACAGTACCTTTTAGCATAGGGCTCTATAAGTGACATTATGTATGTTGAAGTCAATGCACATAGATGAGGAGCAGGCACAAGTGTGCTGGCTCCCCACCCACCACCTGTGCACGGTCACTGGCTTATGAGCATCGTGTCTGTGTGCCTAGCAAGTATACATGCATAGGCTCCCTACTAGGGTTGCCAAGTACTTACCGCAATCCGGCGGGGGACACATGCTCCCCAGCCGGAACATTTCTCCCTGTAACACACCATGCCGTCGCCAGGAAGTGACGCTGGGCGACGCTCTGGCAATGGGGCTGAAAACTCGATGGTACCATCGAGTTTCTGGCCCCATTGCCAGAGCATCGCCTGGTGTCACTTCCTGGCGACGGCATGGTGGGGCATGTCTGTTGTCCTGCGAAGACGTCTTTGTCTTCCTGGCGACAGCATGGTGGGGCATGTCTGTTGTCCTGCGAAGACGTCTTTGTCTTCCTGGCGACGGCATGGTGGGGCATGTCTGTTGTCCTGCGAAGACGTCTTTGTCCCCCGCCGAATCACGGTAAGTACTTGGGAAGCCTGCTCCCTACCTATGATCAGGAATGTTTGAAAAAGCAGTGTTGTTGGTAACAGGCATGGAGCTTACATGCACATACACATGTAACTTACATGCACAGACTTCCTACATGCATAGGCTTGGAGCTTACATGTACATATTTCCTGTAGGCATAAACATAGACACCATGTTCCCAGTGGTGTACCAAGGGGGGCAGGGGGCAGTCTGCCCCAGGAGCAGCATAAGTAAGGTTTTTGAAGGGGCCCCTCGATTTCAGCATTATCCTGCTGTCTCCAGCTGAATGTCTTTCTTATTTTTAAAATGCAGTTCTGGCTGCAGCCACTAGGGGCACAGGAAAGTCTGGGCATAGCAAAAAGCTTTAGGATTGGCTAAGCTTCCCTTTTCTCCAAAACTCAAGCAAACTTCCTTAACAGATCAAAGTGATAGCTACTACAGTAATTGCCAGTGTGCAAACCATTTTCCCAATAGCCTAGCCTTTCTCTCTCCTTTTCCTTGCACCCAGCTCAGCCAGATCTCGCAAAGCAGTAGTTAGGGTGTTGCAGCAAAATAAAACCTTTCCCTCTTAATTTCTGTCCCTCTTTTTCACACATTTCTCATTCATTCTGTCTCCCTTCACCTAATTTCTCTCTGTGTGTGTCCCCCCCCCCCTTTATTTTCAGTTTTTGGTCTCATCCCCATCCTGCTTGGTGACAGAATGGCTGCAGTCACACACACTAAATAATTCACTTTCAATACACTTTCCAACTGGATTTTACCAGTTCACACAGTAAAAATCCAGTTGGAAAGTGCACTGAAAGTTGATTGAAAGTGGATTATTTAGTGTGTGTGTGTGAGTGACCACAGCCATAATAGTTAAGAGTAGTATAGTAGCAAACCTTTGTTAATATTATGCCGGGTGCTCTGTACATTGCAGTGGTTCTGCTGGGGTGCAAAAATCCCCTCCCTTTTCAGTTTCTACCGCAGATATTCTCTGGTGTGACTTTAGTCCTTTGGAATCAATGGAAGGTGGGGGCACCTTCTTGGGGGGGGCAGTGTGTTTCTTAACATCCAGTCCGGTGAAGCTTGCGATCACTATTTTGTGATGCTTTGGCTTAGTAGAAGTGAGTACAAAGGCAAAACACATTGGGGGGTGAAAAACCCTGAAGCAATAGGGACAAATGAGTGACAAAAATGACAATGTGGAAGAGCCCCTTATTAGGTCACAGCGTTTTTAGCACACGGAGCAAGAAATTCAGTCCTTTCTACTTAAGTGATTAACATAGGTTGGCTTTAGGTCTATGAAAGGCCCTTCAGTTTTAATATTGAGGAAAAGTGAATTTTGTCTCTGTTGTTGCAACTTTCTTCTGAGGCACTTCCAGTTTCTCTTCAGGTTGTATAAATCTTTCACCAGGACAGTAATGTACTAAGGAACTGTAATGTATTCAGATGCTGCCATGAATGCATTAGATGTCATGTGAAACATCTCATTGGGAAGCAATGTTAAGCTTCGTCTTGGACAGGGATGCAAGTCCAAGACTAATTCGTCCAATCACATTCAAGCAAGCTGGAAGCGGGAACGTGTGTGATTGGACCTTATGCGATCAACCTGATAGGTTGTTATCTGTAAAGTAGGAGTGGCTATATTAGCCGGGAATGTTTAAATACCGAGCAGTTTCAATGGGCAAACTGTTCGGGCTATCAGATGTTGTACCGTGTTGGAGAAGTGATCATGAAGAAGAATAAACTTGAGTTTTGGCTGAAATCACTCTCTGACTCTTTGTTAAGCTCAGTACTTAACAGGAACGACCTGAGATCTTATTTTCTATTTTCTCCAAACAAAAGAAAATGTTGTCATGCATTGTCCCATCCTAAAACAAGAGAGTTACTGTAATCAAAGTAAAATATCTCTTGAAGCAGAAATGCCTTTGCTTCCTTTTGCAGTATGTGCATACAATTATTTCTGCCCATGATGTATAAACATAGCCACCCATTTGCTATAATATCACAAAGTACAGATATTTTCCCAACACACAATGGAGCTATAGTATCCGTTGAGGTAATTCTTTGTATCAGCAAGAAGAGTCAGAGTTTGTTAGTTGTTTTTCCCTTTCCTATTACAATAATTATGGCAAACCTTTTTAAAAAATTGAAAAGGTATACTATTTAAATTTGATTGTTCAGTTATTGCCTGAACAAAATGACAGGTAAAGGTTCCCTTGCAAGTGAAATCAACTAAACTACAGCCCTCTGCAGACAATTGATTGTCTGGGGCTCAAGATCTGTGTAACAGGAGCACACTGACATAGGATCCTCCCAATATGCACGGTCACCATTGTGTACAGATGGGGCAACAGGTATATTTTCCTTGCACATAAAGCTTCATTATGTGGAAATGGAGCCCCATATTTTTGAGGGAATGTGTTTACATTGACTGAAGCATGAAAAATGTTAGATCGCCGCTAACAAAGATCCGGAGAGTGATTTCAGCAAAAGTGAACAGCTTATTGAAGGTACGAACAAGCGCTTGAAAGAAGTCATAACCAGAACAACTTAACATTGGGAGCTAGGCTCCTTTAAAACATTCCCGGGCTAACGTAGCCACGCCTCTGTACAATAAATAACCAATGAGGTTGTGCGGATAACGTCCAATGAGAGTTCTTCCCTCTCAGGGAATTGGTGCAGTTCTGATTGGTTGCTGTTGTGGAGCGACCAATAACATGTTAGTTCGGAGGAGCCTTCCTCTGGCTCGAGCTTAACATGGGGAGTCAATGCGGCGATTCATGTCAGCCTCCCACTCACTCAAAGTGGCAAATGTGTATCAAGAGGATTGTGCATGGCACACGTTCCTGTTACACACAGTTGAGAGTGCCAAGAATGTTTGAAAAGGTCTCAGAAGCTACCAGAATGTAGTCTAATCAGTTTCATCACTCCTTGGACTTGTATGGGATTGGTGCAGTGGGTATCAAACTCTTGACTTTTTAAGATTTGCTTTTCTGCCAAAGCTCCTCTTTTAATCTGTCATGGAAACCTCACAAGGGGATCCTTTGTTCTCCAACAGACCACAGGGCAGGGCAGCATTTCAGGTGAACAGAACACAGAGCAGCAGAGATAGCAGGAACAGAACAGAACAGAGCTGTCTTCCAAGGGACCAGACAATTAAAAACCCCAATCTAGTCACAAATTCGCCCTGGCCAGGAGCCAATTGGAGTAGACATAGGAGTGTCCAAATTCTAGTTGTCATGGGTAGCTTGAGGGGATAGGTTAGAAGTTTGGAAACCACGCCCACAGTCACATGCCCCCCAAAACCCAAGCCTCATTGTGTACGTAACTCTTTGCTTGTTTGGCAGAGGTCATCTGGTCTCTCCCAGCATGGAAATGTGAAGAATGTGGGTTTATGGAATGGCAAAGAGGCCATGGGGCCCACCATTTGGCTTGTAACAGGAACTAAGGCACAACAGCATGGTATCAAAAAACAGAACAGGAGAAGGCAGGACTTTTAGAAATCAATATTTCTATACAGGCTATAAATCTATGCAGAAGCTACCATAAAATCCAATGATCAAAGAAAGCAAAAGCGGCATGGAGTGTGGAGGGTACCATGAAATCTGATGATCAAAGGAAGAGAAAGCAGCATGCAATGCAGAGGGGAATTTCTGTTCCAACGTGGGTTTCGTAAAACACTGGAGGGAAAAGCCAATGCAGAATCAGCCATGGATTCCGGTGTACCCTAGAACACTTCAGCTAACTGCTTTGCCATACAGAAATGATTGTCCGTGCACAACCTGTGTTTCATGTGAACAAATGAGTAGTTTCTAAGCACCTCATAGTATACTATGGGATGGAATCCAGAGCACTGTGAGACTAGTTCCCTGAGCCCAAGGGAGGTCCAGGTTTGTTTTTCTTAACCATTGCCAGACTTCTGGCCCTTCTTGGCCAGTTGCTTTGAACTGCTGATGATTGCAAAAGCAGTTCCTGATATGAAGTAGGAGCCAGGTCAGTTGTTCAAAGGGAAAAAACTCCAAAACTCCACAGTGCGAAGTGCAACCCCCTTGCATGCCCTGAAGTATTTATTTGGATCTCAACTGCAGCGTTGTAGCTAAGTTCTGGAAAGGGGTATTACTCTTAATCATTGCATCATGGGTTTTGAATACATTCAGATATTTTGCTGACTGTGTAAAAGAGAAGCTCATATTCCCAAATTGTTTT